CTGTCTAGCCCAGTTGATAATGCGTTGGTTTATTGCGCTGGAAACCAAGGTTCGATTCACAAGGGTCTATGTATAGTGCCCGTGTCTTTGATATCCCCTGTCGTGATATGGCTGGAATATTGCTATAAGAGGCGTCAATCCATACTCAATTATATCTCTTCAAAGATTCACTGAACGATTCACCCTTCACACTGAATGTCGCTTCGTAATAAAAAAAAGACCGACACACCTCTTGTAAGCTGTTTATAACACTATCGTAGTAGTTATTTATGTTAACTTTCGCCTTTATACGGATATCGGTATTCGCCATGGTACAAAACCCCCCAGGCGAAACATTTACTATAGCGTTAGACAGATAGAGCCTACCTATTACCCACAGGTAGCGTTTCTTTACGCATGCCTGACCCAAGTGTGTAGGCCATGCGTGACTTGTCATCGTCCTCTCTTGGAAATAAACACCATGTCATTCCGCCTCTTTCAGAATCATTCGGAATATTCGACTGTGTGTATGAATAATTACCTCTTGCAGATCATGATAGATGGGTTCAGATAAGAGTCGTTATGAATAATACCTTTATGTTAGAGAGAGGTGGATGGAAGTGTGGATACACACACACACACACACACACACACATACATACACACTGAAATCCTCCTCTATCAATCCATCACCAACCACCTCTCCACCTGCCATCAATCACCCACAACCCTCTCAAGCTATCTACCCATGACTCCACAACCTACTTTTCGCTACCTGCCCATCATGATCACTCCTACACTATCCATCCACTACCCTCCAATATCCTTCAATCATCATCCACAACCATCCTTCATTATCCATCCATCACCCACCACCACCCTTTCTACTATCCATCGACTATCCACCCATCACCCTCCACTATCCAACATCCTCCACTATCCATCCACTACCCTCCAATATCCTTTCATCATCCTCAACCATCCTTCACCATCACCCCTTCACTATCCATCCATCACCTATCACTATCCATCCATCACCCAACACCACCCTCCACTATCCACCCATCATCCTCAACTATCCATCCATCAGCACCTCCATCCTCCACTATCCATCCACTATCTACCTATCACCCTCCACTATCCATCCATCAGCACATCCATCCTCCACTATCCATCCATCAGCACCTCCACCATCCACTATCCATCCACTATCTACCTATCATCCTCCACTATCCATCCATCAGCACCTCCACCCTCCACTACCCACCCACTATCTACCTATCACCCTCCACTATCCATCCATCAGCACCTCCATCATCCACTATCCATCCATCAGCACCTCCATCCTCCATTATCCATCCACTATCTACCCATCACCCTCCACTATCCATCCATCAGCACATCCACCTCCACTATCCATCCACTATCTACCCATCACCCTCCATTATCCAACATCCTCCAGTATCCATCTATCACCCTCCTCTATCCAACATCCTCCAGTGCTATGACTTTTTCTGTTTTAAATGACAATGAAATGAATATATGTTTTGAAATAAAACTCATTTTGACTATGTACTTACAATGTTTACTAATGCAGACTTGTTCTCGTCACTATGTGGCTGGAATAATGCCGCTGTGACGTAAAGCCCAACTCAACAACTACCTTCCAATATCCTTCAATCATCCACAACCATCTTTCTCCCATCACCCCTCCACTATCCATCCATCATCTATCACTATCCATCCACTATCTACCCATCACCTTCAACTATCCATCCATCATCTATCACTATCCATCCACTATATACCCATCACCTTCCACTATCCATCCATCATCTATCACTATCCATCCACTATATACCCATCACCTTCCCACTATCCATCCATCATCTACCACTATCCATCCACTATCTACCCATCACCACCCACTATCTACCCATCACCTTCCACTCTTCATCCACCATCTATCACTATCCATCCACTATCTACCCATCACCACCCACTATCTATCCATCACCTTCCACTATCCATCCATCATCTATTACTATCCATCCACTATCTACCACCCATCACCTTCCACTGTACATCCATCCTCCACTATCCATCCACTATGTTCCCATCACCCTCCACTATCCACCCATCAGCACCACCACCCTCCACTATCCATCCACTACAGTCCAATATACAACCATAAATCATTATGACCACCACCTATTCTGAAAGACAATTCCCTATATCGCTACCTATATTTCACCCTATCAAGGACTGACACCAGGTGGAAAGCAGCGTGATATATTCGCCGAGTGACCTATTTCTGGCTGTCAATCAAACGGGCTGTCAAACAAAGCACAACTTGGACAGTCAGACAATTCGGATCCTGTTTGATATAATTAGTTCACGCCATACATGCACATACCAAATCAATGATGTACATACACCCTGTGATCTCAATCTTTATCCACATGTTCGAGGTGTATGGAGTGCCATAACAATAGATGAAATCAGACGTTCGATACAGGCCATGTGTACATTTGGGAAATATACAACTGCGCGGGGAATTAACACGAGAAACCCATTTCTGATTGACACATATATGCTTTGATGTATCGCTTGAAACAATCGCCCAGTGCAATCAACCGAATCCTCGTGCCGATGACTTTTTTAAACTCAGAATAGTTTCATCCAAAACAATATGACGGTTTCATAACACGGAGATGTGAAGCACAAAATACTGCGGTTTATGTGGTATGGGCGAATACGGTAATTTTGGAATAGCTTGCCTTAATAAGATTGTGTCCTATTTGTAACAACACTCTCTATTAAGACCATATTGTAGAGTCATATATCTGCCTGTCTGATAAGGGGTGTGTGTGTGTGTGTGTGTGTAGCGCGCGCGTGCGTGCGTGCGTGTATGTATGTACGACTGTGTATGTACGTGTTGTCAGTCTTTTTGTGTAGTGTGTGTACATGGCATGTGTTTTCCTCTTCTGCCTGTGCATATACGCGTACGTGTGTTATTGCCATACGTGTATATGTGTATTGTGTGTTTTTTCTCTGTGAAAGGGCGGTGAGGTAGCCTAATGGTTAAAGCGTTCGCGCTTCACGCCGAATACCCGGGTTTGATTCTCGACATAGGTAATATGTCTGAAGCCCATGCCTGGTGTCCCCACCGTGATATTGCTGGAATATTGCAAAACATCGGCGTAAAACTAACTTTACTCATATGTGTGCGCGCGCGTGGTGTGAATGGATCAGGCCTATGTAAATTGTCAGCGCTAAGTACGTTTGAGGTCGTTCATACCCCTTTGTTTACATCAGCTGTATATCAGTGAAACGCTAGGTGATTACTCTCAATAAACATACCGACATAGATCCGGGTTAGAATTGATCTTCAGTAACCCATGCTTGTCGTTAGAGGCGACTAACGGATCGGGTAGCCACGATGCAGGGTCATGTCTTGACTGTATAGGACCGCATCGCGGCTCTCGGCTAGGGATCGGGTGGGTCAGGCTCGCTGACGGAGTTGATTACATGTCATCGCATTGCGTAGATCGATGGTAATGTGATGTTTATCACTGGATTGTCAGGTCCAGACTCGATAATTTACACATCGTCGCCATATAGCTGGAATACATGTATTGCTGGATGCGGCGTAAAACTAAACTCACTCACTCACTTAGTTGCACATAAGGGCACGAGTCGCACCGCCCCACTCTGTCTCACACTCCTTGAATCACATTATTTTCCATAATGCCAAGCTCTCCCTCATCGCTAAAGGCTCGAATGAAGCAAGTCTAGATTTCTCCAGGTTCAGAATCTCCATCTCGTTGGAGTCTCCTTTTCAATTTAAAGGGTTTATTTGTTACTGTCATAATTATATATATTTAGGGACTAAGCATTCGTATAACCGCCCCATTGCAATTTTCAAGATGGACACCACATAGCTGAGCGTTGTACTTCCCTTGACAGTCGCGTCACTCACTGTATGATATCAGACAGAAAGAATGGTAGACTAATGCTTAGTCTCTGAATATATATAATTTGGATAGTAACAAACAAGCCCATTTAAATTGAAAAGGAGCCCCAGGGAGACCAGCAGAACCTGAGGAAATCTAGACTTGCTTTATTTAGGGCTTTAGCACTGCAGATAGGGCTTGGCAGTAGGGAAAATAATGTAGTTCAGGGACTGTGAGACAGACTAAGGAATGGGTGCAGTTCTTGGGTATTGTGTCCGCAGCTAACTGCATAATTCTTTATATACCCTCTGTGTTTTTCTTTGTTCTTTGTGTTATTCAGAGATAAAACAGGACTTTAGGCCACACTTTTTTTATTACTTGGTTTACGGATTTTTTTTACAGCAGTATTCCTGTCGGTAAGTGGTAAAATGTCATTTTTAAAAATGCTATTTCAGATTTTTTTCCCCTTACTGGCATTCACCAGGCTGTTTATGAAATAATAGAATATGCCATCAGGTACCCAGGTGTTTTCATTTCCTACTATAATAGGGTTTACAAAACTAACTCTTGTTGTCCATATTAATAAAGTCACTTTAATATCTGTCCAGAGTACAGGGTCTTGTTTGCAACGATGCTACAATAGAAAGTCGATTTCAATAAAGTGGATCTTTAAATTATTTTTTTTAATATTTTTATATATCGGCGGTATTTAAATATGGATTTAAAAAAATCCACTTTATAGCAAAATTTACGGTCGGCGGATCCGTTAACCAAGTAATAATCAAAGGTCTGGCCTTAACAAATCCAGTAACAAGATACCATGCGATTCGTTTTAGGTTCGCCTTGTAAAGAAGAATACAATTGGGTTCGTGCTGTTGTTGTTGATAAGATTACACGTGTTAATACTGTCATGAGGTCCCCTTCAAATGGAGATACTTGGATGTCTTATAGATCAAACGGTATTGACGAACACAACCAACCACAAGCACGACCCGAAGGAAATGCCATAATTTATCGAATGACTACGGTACCCGAGGATTTCCGAATGACAACGGCCCGGACAAATCGTGGTGTTGTTGACAGGCGACCGAAAGCCGGATCGTGTAATACAAGCTAATTGTCTACAGTGGCTATTCTGTCGACAGCTCTCAACACTTGAGGTAAGCCGTTATATGTTGATTACAGGGTCGTATGAGTTTATTACCGAGATTTCTAGTTGAAACACATCGAAATAGACACATACCGCGTTTGGGACGGTTCGAAATGTTCAACCCGGAAACGACAGCGAAGTTCGGTTAACTGTTATTGTGTTGGAGCCAAGTTTGTAGTGCACATGTGCTTCGAAACTGCCTTCATCTGGAGTGGAATAGTGGAAGGTGTGTTTTGTTCGTGTTGCAGTGCCGGTTGACGATATAGTGTGAACCCGGACAGTTTCAAACACTGGTCACATACACGTGTCAAAACGTCGGACATGAGTGACTGATTTATTCCGTTTAGTCGCACCTGTCAGTGAGAGGAAGAGAGTTATGTCTTCTTACAACTGTCGAAGGCGATAATGGTCATGTGGTGATGGTGATTATCTCTCTTTTTGTGTTTGTTGTTACAATGTTGTTACATCGTTGTTACATTGTTAAACAACTCTTCTGTGTGAATAGCACATAGTTTATATATGTTGTTTTGTTTTTGTATATAAATACCTGACAGATTAGTTAATCTTAATTATGTTTAAGTTGAGTGTGCAAAGAATTCAATGTATAAAATAGTTTAAATAAAGCAATGAAAGTCAGTTAAATAAATGTTTACACAGTGAACTCAAAAACAGCTAATCGAATGGTTTTCAAACTCTGTGCACTGCATGCGTCATATTATGACACCATATGATTGTTAGCGATACAGCTTCTCGGTGGAGAGTTTGGCAGTTACCGTGGTAGCGGGTAATATTTTTTCCAGTTGTCACCCTCCTGGGAGGGGTTACGCAGAAACGTGTTAAAGCGTCATTGACCAATGAAATTAAAGTATTTTACATGAAGGTAAGATAAATAACAGTAAACTTTCCACGGCCATATATGTGTGTGTGTTGTCATAAAAAATCACTCTTCATTAGTTTTCAATGAAAAATGTACATCTCTGAACACGGTACTGCCATTAGACTTGCAGTGCAGCAATGTCATAGCATTGTGACGTCGTAAGGTTTTGACGTCATAGCATTGTGAGTCATGTGATTGATGACATCTACTGTCAAAGCGATATCTCCTAGGACATGTCGCTTTAATCTCATACAAGCAATATCTCCAGTGGAACACAGTTTTGGGTGATAAATAACAGTATACTTTTCACAGCCGTTTGTGTCGCTGTGTTCTGTAACAACTCTCCCGCCACATTTCAGCTGTAGACTCGCTTTAGAAGATCCGGGTTAGAATTGGTCTTCAGTAACCCATGCTTTTGCCTAAAGAGGCAACTAGCAGGGTCAGGTGGTCAGGCTCGCTGACTGGGTTGACACATGTCATCGTATCCCAAATGCGTAGATCGATGTTCATGCTGATGATACCTGGATTGTCTGGCCCAGATCAGATTATTTACAGCTGGACAATTGCCGAAAGTGCAGCGTAAAACTAAACTCACTCATTCACTCATTTCAGCTGTATGACAGCAGGCTGTAAACAATAGAGACTGAACCAGACAGTCCCAGTGACTGGCTTCATGAGTATCACTTGATTGTTTGGTTCAGACTCTACATCTCAATGATGAAGAGACCAGCTGCATACCATACTGCCTGGCTCTCAGCATTAATGGGTACAATAAGGCCTGGTTGGCTCGAGGTCAGTATAACGCGGTCTGAGTAGGGTATTCATGCTAAACTGCAGCATGGAATCTCGGTGAGCAAGCACTATTAAACCAGCTTATGTCTGGAGCTTTAAGTACAAGCAGCCACATATACACACACATACGCGTCATCATATGAGCTAAATATTCTTCAGTCTGAATGTTAAACCCCATTTCACCTCTACTCACTCACTCACTCCCACCTAACGACACTATCCCCCTCAACCACACTCCCTTATAAACTCATGAACTCATAAGGCCTACAAGAAAATAATGTTGTGGTTCCGATTACTCTGCTAACCGACCTTTGAATTCTGGTAGCTGACCCAATCTTTTTTTCAGCGGAATGAATAAAATAAAACTGCTTCAGATACCATTGTTTTTCCTGGAACCAACAGATATCAGTCATTCTTGATAGAGAAAGTCACATATGTTGGCCGCAAGCTTCATTAGAATAAACAATTACACATTGATAAAATGTGTTATTACTTTGTTCTTTACTTCTGAAAATATGTACAAAAAGATGATAATCTGGACCTACCTACCCTAAATTTTTAAAGAGGAGTAATCGGAAACCGCAACATTTTGTTTTATTTTGGTACCTAAAGTTTAGTACAATAAAGAAATTTGCCACCAATGAATTTGTGTTTGTGTCGACTTCAAATAACCGACCTGACATGTGGAGTAGGTATTTTTACTGATATGAAATCCTCTCTAGTATCATCATGTGTCAGAACAGCATGTGATAGCATGGACATGCATATTGATCTGTTGATTCAAAGTGCATGTAGCTTGTGATCTCAAGTTGACTTAACACTCTGTCTGACAAATGATAATAACACTATCAGCAGGTGTCGTTACTGTACCCAGACTTCATTAAGGCCGAGAGACGATATATGTGGGGCAAATTAATCAGCTCCTCACAGCGAAAGTGACGGTTTATCGGGCCAGGTAATTAGCAGTAGCTCTCACAGCCAGAGCCACATACAGTCGCCAACAGAAAGCACCTCTTATTCAGAAGAGACGACATGTGTGTTGTACTTTTTAAAATCACTTCCAAAATTATTTCAACCACTCGTACTGGAGTAAATGTTGGCTTTTTCTACGAAAGATCCCAATTCCAGCAATCAGAAGAAGTGCATTTAAAGTACTTTGATAACAATTGCTAATCATTATCATAGGCTTGTACAGCGCTTAGCAAATGAACGCACGTCGGCGAAAGGGGATTATGATGTTTTACAGAGGTAAGTGCCTGGTACTTTTCCTTGGGAATGGATACTAAAATACTCTGTGATGCACCTTGATTGAATTAGATGTAATGGTTTAGAGGTTACTAAAATTATATTTCCTTCTAACTAACCTAATAAATAGGAAACAATATACGAAAATTTCAAGGACATACAAAGAATTCAAACACAATAGAATAGTTTGAATTTACTTTAGGCATCATTACGTTGTCATGTTTCATATACTGAAACATAATGTATAAACACAAGTAATTATACATCCAAGCCTCTAATAGATTAAACATAATTGAACTTACTAATTTGAAGTTTACTGAATTGTAACTAGTTGTTTTCCATAATCTAAAGTTCGTAATGTTACCTGCTTAATATAAAGTGATAAGTCGCTACTTTGCATCGAATACATATATACATGTCAGTGTTATTACAACAATGAAATGTTTTACTACGCTTGTTACAAAAGAAAGTAAGTTGGTAATTCAAAACATTGTCACACATGGACAGAAGTAATATCATAAGTTATTACATGTAAGCCATACAAAGGTATTTCAAGCATTTTGTTCAAGCTGTTGAAAGTTTCATGTTGATTTGAATTGTCAGTTTTCTATGCAATTTACATGAGCATTCTGTAAAACGCTTGTATTTGATCTGTGTAATTATCAACCGTGCAATTATCACGCGTATCAATCAACTCAGTCTCTATTGATCCATCGTCAATAAAAGCTGGATAGTATATCAGTTACGGTATCGATACATTATGCGATAATCATTCAAGCAGATTACAGTAATGAGATAATTGAAAGCTCTCTTCGACCTTGAAATAACAGCCTCCGGTAGAATGCATATGTAGTTACGTCCTTGTTGAAAGGTTTGTCCCGTGGACAAGTGTAAAATAAACAGATGCGCTTCGTTATATGATTGGACATCTTGCTTTATGGAGTCACGCCCCTCTGTGATGTTTATACATGCATGCACATCTGTAATCTTATGAACCTCGCTTTGCATTCAGTAAAGATATAGGCACGCCCACCTTCATAAATATTGGGGTGGGGGTGTCAACTGCAAGTTTATACACTATAATAATTCAGTATAGTGTCACCTCGTGAATTCTGTAATGCGGTAATTTTAGTTTGGATAGTCATTCAGATCAAGGTGAAGATTATATTTACATGTACAGCAAACCATTATGTTTTATGTACTAGTTGTGTGCATAAAATGTATATGAAAATAAATACTACCCCTCTACTCAGTGGTTGATTTCAATCGCTTTGTTTTACTTATCGAAAAAACACTAAAATGAGGACAAATAAACTCGCCAAAGTGACTATCTACTCCTATTTGTCTTATGTGTATATTTCATACATCGCTACCAGTGTGTATGTTTACAATACACAAACTGTTACATGATAGCTTGAGTTGATAAAGCCGAAAACCCAGCATATCGACTGGTCAAGGATATAGCCAATAACCAATCTCTATCCAAGCTGCTGAGTGACCAAACGTGCTCTTCAGAAATTTCACCACGCCCCATCACCTGTCCTTTCCTCTGTGACAGGTATCTCATGATACGATTGGTCGCAGATAACATATGACCAGCCACTACATTGAACAGTTGAGATACCGAACGCTCTATTCGGGAAATTTGATGCAGCCCTATCACGTGACTCCTTTGTTTTATGTCTATGCAAGGAATATGTAGTATACATTTTGTATATGTATGTTTGTATGGTCACGTATGTTTTCTGCATTAAATCTGTATGAAATAAAGTGCAATGCTATGAATGTGCTTTGTGCTAGTCACAGACTAGCGCTATAGTACTTTCATTAAAATAATTCAGAACACTAGAAATGTATCGGCAAAACCGCTATTTTCGCCGGGGAAGATTATAAAGTATGAAAGTAAATTCTTCTTTTACAGTATGTCATTGTCATAGATGTTTTGTAAATTTAAACCTCACACAATGATATAAGAGAGAGAATTTGTTAATGTGTGTCTCATCTGTTACATACAAAGAATACATGTGTATGCATATTGTGATAAAATATAAATGTACAAGCCGACAAAAGGTCTACAAGAGAAACTTGCAATAAAA